GAGTTCCAGATGTGTAATGCAGAGTATGCAAGTTCCGTTTAGTTTTGGAGAGATGTGCAACCCTAAACTTTTGTCGCAATCGCACCGATGTCTGCCCAACTTTGGTCGAGTTTTGCTCCGGCAGTTGGGCATCTGCCGAACTTTGCCGAATTCGTACTTTGGCAGATCCAGTCCATCACTAATACATTGTCACTTTTTAAAAGTAAAAAAAAAATCGATATTTTCTTAAAATAACTTTACCTTCGATTCTTTTTCCCTTTCGTTGAAACTTTTATATATTTTTTCCTGGGCAATTTGATGTGCTTGAAGTTTCCTTGCCTTTTGTGCTTTTGAAGACATCTGAGAGCCGCCCTGAGGGGAAATTTTAGCGTATTACATCACAGTGCTGTTTCTGAAGAGGCAGAAGAAACAAAAGTTCAGTTAAACTAGCAGAAATTACTGAAGAATGTGAACAGCCCCTTTTACATATGTTGCGTTATCTAGCAGTGGCCTTTCCCAACTACATGCAGGCGGTTTGGCTAGCCACTGTAAGCCACCTCTGGTACAGCCAGCACGGAATGAAACCCGAATGCCGGAACGCGCGGCCATCGACACAGGCTGCTCCACCTGCAGGGCCCCTGAGAACTAATGAAAATGCGCCGGGGGCGGGTCCTACTAAGATATGCTCTACCCTCATGCGGCGCGTCTGAGACTTCCGCCTCTCGCCAGTGGCGCGCTGTAAACACCGTAACTCGGGGTGCTTTCATGTCGCCGCACTGTCGCCAGGTCGACACCTGCGGCTTTCGCGCGGCGCGAGAACATCGATGCTAAAAGCAGCTGCAAGCTGATTGCGCGCACGCCAGCAGAGCACGCCCATGGTGTCTTTTCCTCCTGGCGTGCAGTTTTTATAGTTTGTAATACCTCTCATAATTTATTGTTAGCCATACTTATAGCGAAACAGCGCGACATATGAGACAGAACAAGCTGCGACACATAACGAGTGCTGACACCCAACTGAAGGTTGCTACTACAAATATTTAGTATATAATATATGAGCACATCCATACGTCCATTCCCAGAGCTCGTCTATTAACCTCTCATATTCTTCCGGATTGTATGCCTCGCTCCAAATGCCATAATGCAGGTCTACCAACTCGTACACTCAGCGAACATTTTCCTTAATTCCTTGAGCCTTGGAACAATTCGTCACTCTGTTCAGATTTTGGTCCGATCTGTCCAGCGCTCCCATTAATTATCACTTTGTGTATAGCAATAGCGAAAAGAAAAGTTGAAACATTTAGTGCACAGAAGACCCGTAGTGCTTGACGACGTGTCATTGGAACTATGCAGAGGCTCCAGTGAACAACTTGCCGCACGCGGTTTCTGAGAAATAGTGAAACGTCAAAGGTGCGAAATAAAATTTGTCACTGGCACGGCCATACTCTTAGTTTTCATGCGGCAGTGCGACAACACAAAAGCAACCTGAGTGACGGCGCTCACAGCGCGCCGCCGGCGAAACGTAGAAGCCCCAGACGCGCCGTGCGAGGGTCGAGCACGTCTTAGTAGGATCCGCACCCCGGCGCATTTTCACTAGGTCTCAGGAGCCCTCCAGGTGGAGCAGCCTGTGTTGATGGCCACACGTTCCGGCATACAGGTTTCATTCCATGCTGACTGTACATCGACAGTGATTCAAGCATTTGTGTTCATGCTGCTCAACGAGGTAGAGGGGCGTAAGCGCGAAACACATTTATGACGAAACCGTCCGATCCGACGTCCGATCAGGCAATAAGACAGACGGAGGTGAGGGTTTTCAACGCTCTCCGGTGCTACGAAAACCCTCATCCCCGAAGGTCATTCGGGCAGTCCGCACGTCGGATCGGACGGTTTCGTCGTACATGTGTTTCGCGCTTTAGAGCAATAAACTGGTATTCCGTTCACCCAGCAGAAGTGACCCCCCACTTGGCTGCCATCATGTTGTATGATTTTGACAAGACACGTGACCGTACCAAATCCTGAAGCTTTTACACAAAACCAAGCAGATTTCTTTTGCAATCTCTAAAAAATATGATAAACTATTTTTTTAATACGTTAGTCGCAGAGATCAGTGTCTAGCTATGATAAAAACCCAAAATACAGCACCGCAGCTGACGGCATCTAGCGGAGGCATTGGGAAGCTCCTCAATTTTTCGTCGTAAAAGCACATGTTGGACTCAGAACGAACTAAGCATAACTTATCTCGTCGGTACCGTTATTAAAGATCAATAAGCAATTATTTGTGCACGGTACTTTGTTAAAATCTAGACAAAAAAGTATTAGGTCACGTGTTAGTGGTAAAAAAAAGCGTGACATGGCATGGCCAATCAGGGGTCACTTTCAGCTGCCAGTTTATCGCTCTAACCGCTTATTCACACTGGAAGCGGATCCGTGTTCGCAACCGCTTTGCTAACGTGGATCCGCTTCCAGTGTGAATGAGTGGTAACGCCCTCTACCTCATTGGTGCTGCTGCTCTGTTGTTACTTAGAAGAATCCTTTTCACTGTTTCATTGCAGTTTATGAAAGAGTTAACTTGGGTTTGTTCATAATTCTAGTCAGGAGGCAAACAGAAGATTTGGGTTTTAGTAAGGGACTATAGGTGACATTCACATGACGTCACTCGCTAGGTTCGCTGCCATCGCCCACCGCGGTCGCCATCTTCGAGGTCTCTTGCTATCGCGAATGCCATCTCGCCGGACCTTTTGAGCGTGGTTTAGCAGTATTTTACAAATTTAAAGGGTTTTTTTGATCGAAACTAGGGGTTATTCTTATACTTTGGTACTTCTGAAGCGTTGTGGGAGTATTTTTTGTGTGTTTTAGTTTGTTTTTGTCGCAATCGGACTCGTTTACCGCGGCCGCGTTGCTCCCTCGGCTCCATGACGCGCTCCGTGTCGCCCGCCGTGCCGACGGCAGTAGCTCTTGCAAGAACTAATTTTTCTACTTTGGTGCTTTTGCAGCACGGTGTGATTACTCTTTGTTTTGTTTTGCTAGTTTGATTATTGTTTTTCTCTTGCTGATTTTCTGTACTACGGCCGTGTAACCGTGTGGCTCCATCGCCGCTGTGTCGTACATACGTCGTGCCTTCGGTGTTCGTTCCTGTGCAGAAACATACCGTGCGGCTCACAGGGTGCGCAGCTTATAAAAAATGCGGCGCATTTTCATTAGCCCAAGCGATTTAAAAACCGCATGTAAGCAATTTGGCGAGCGGAAAGACAAGCGACGGCGACCCGCTTCGCTGCCGCTCGGTCACTCGCGCGACGAGGCAAACCGCATGAAAGCGACGGGAGCCACGACCAAGGCGAGGAGCGCTAAGTTTTCTAGAAATCCCAAAACCGAGCTACGCGACGAGTGACAGTGAAGGGTGAACCGCATGTAAGCGATTTAGCGAGCGATGGCGAGAGCGACGGGAGTCGGCGACGAGCGACGGGGGTCGGCGACGACCGACGGAGATTTCTTGCGGTCGGTCGTCGCGTCGCTTGGCTTTTGGATTTCTAGAAAGGGTCGCTTATCGCCTTGGTCGCATGCTCCCGTCGCTTTCATGCGGTTTGCCACGTCGCGCGAGTGACCGAGCGACAGCGAAGCGGGTCGTCGTCGCTTGTCTCGTCGCTGTCGCTCGTCTCGTCCCGTCGCTCGCCAAATCGCTTACATGCGGTTCAGCCTTTACACACGGTACTTGGCGGCAACAAGGAAAACGGCCCGCCCCCGAGACCAACTTTTCTTCTCTCTTCTGTTCAACGAAGCTTCAACGATATGAAATTAGCACACACTAGCAGCGGACGACCGCGTAGCGTACCCAAGCCAGTCAAACCGAGACCTCGAAGATGGCGGATCGACGGTGGCACTCCCTGGCAAAATCGAACCTGCAGGCTCAGTGAATACCACCTATAGGTGGCACTGAGGTCTATTTAAATGTCTACTGGGAATGCCTAGCTATGCTAGGCATTCCCAGTAGATGGCATATGGAAATTAACTAGATGCTAGATGGCATATGGAAATTAACTTAATTAAAACATGAGCTTACCTTCTGCATGGAGGTGTTAACGTTTGGAAGGCCGTCCAGTATTCTGGGTATGGCAGCCCTAGCCTTCTGCATTTTCCGCACCAGCAGCTCCACAGTTGCTGCAACGATTTCAAGGAAGTTAACAGAGCATTAATTGCTTTTGGAAAATGCTACAAGCTGGGTCCATATCACATGAGCGAATGACATTTTAGCGAACCGCGACATTTGAGCGAATCAACGTTTTAGCGAATAACGGGGGCGCGCGTTAACCCCTCCACCGTGCTGCGGTTTACGCCGCTTCGCGAGTCTGCGGCGGCTCAATACAAAAATGTGAACCCATTTGGCCCACCCAAAAACGCCGCTTCACGGCGTCCGACTATTCGCTGAAGGGGCGTTCGCTAAAACGTCATTCGATCAAGTGAGTGCCTCCCTGGTCTTTCCTTCAATCAAGCTCGCTCGCGCCCAGCTTCACGTGGTACAGTACGTAGCTTGAACAAAGACCTCCCGAACCGGCGACTTTTCAACGGAGCTCCCTAACATAAGGTTTATATGTCAGTAAAATACATACCTCCCAGCATCTCCACGGTGCCTTCGTAGAATCCTCCGTCTTCCCCCTTTTCGGATACCCAAAAAGCTTCGTACTTGGTCTTTGGGTTGAAGTCTTCGTCGTCACTAGGACTAAACCTTCGGATTAGGGACGCAGGTAATATTAGGCGTCCGCCATCCGAATACTTTACATACGCAAACATTGTTTGTCCTGTCGCGTTCTCAGATACGGTCACTGCGAACAACACGGCACCTCAATCACAAGATAATAGACGAACGATCCAGGGTTCCAGATAAAAATTGAATCGAGCTGCGGCTGGTCTCTGCGTCCGCAGAACGACGGTTGCGGCGTGGTTGGCGTGGTTGCGTGTGTGTGTGTTCGTCGTTTGGTTTTAAACGTCACCTAGGTTAGCCTAGCACGGGGTAGCTGGAAAGTCGGGTTATGGTTTTTGTGTCTCGTAGAAATGCCAACATGGCTTTCAGGATGTTCTGACACTTTCGTCCGGAACCGTCGGGTGCAAGGATGTCATTAGTTGTGAGGTCGCTCTTGCCAAGTCTTTTGCGCAGTGCTGCTCGTTGAGTTTCGTATGCTGGGCAGACACACAGAATGTGTTCCACCGTCTCTGCGGAGTTACACTGGGAGCAAAGTGGGTGCTGCCCCTTACCTATCTTCGTAAGGAAAGCATTCGTGTAGGCCGTGTTTGTGCGCAGGCGTCGCACAAGAGTCTGCGCCGCCCGAGATAGGCCGGACAGCGCACCTCTTGGTAGCGCCGGTTTTGGCTTGCTGTCTTGAAGGTGCCAGTGGACGTTGAGTGCCGCCTGCTGTGGGTGTGGTGGTGTGGGGACAGTGCGAGGCGCTAGGTGAGCTTCACCGGCCAGACTGTCAGCCCGTTCGTTGCCCTTAATGCCAGTGTGTCCTGGGATCCACTGGAAACATACCGTAGATCCGTGGGTTAACAGGAATGATAGAGTTTGTCTCGCTGCAGTGGTCGCGGGATCCGCGCACTCTGCATTGGCCATTTTCTGGAGGGCACACCTTGAGTCGGTGAGGAGCACCATCCGGTGAGGTGACAGCTGGGCAGCCGCTTGGAGGGCCTTGTCAATAGCCACTAGCTCGGCCGTCGTGGAGGATGTAGGCGCCTGTAGCCTGCCGCACCATTCCAGGGCTAACTCCGGGATGTAGAAAGCTGCCGTGCTGGATGTTCTAGCCTTGTTTACAGAGCCGTCCGTGTATATCTGCAGCCAACCACCGTAGCGTTCTTCGATGTGTTTTTCCACAGCTTCTCTGAGAGCGTTGATCGGTCCAACTTTTTTGGCTCGCAGGCGCTTGATCCGTAGCTCGATGGATACCTTGGCAACTTCCCAGGGCGCTACCCTTGCTTCGCTCGTCATCGTCGGTAGCGGGCCGGCTATGTTTAGGAAATCTTCTACCGTGTCGTGCCATGACCCTTTGGTCCGAGCTTGGATTCGCTGCAGGAACCACCTTCCTGGGAGAGTCGTAGAGAGCCGGGCTAACTGGGAGAGTCTTCTGGCTCTGGCCTGGACTGTAAGCGGCTCTGCTCCCGCCTCCTGGAGTACCACAGCATTCTTGGCCGCGTTGGGAATTCCCAGTGCTGTACGTAGCCCGCGTCTGTGCCCTTGCTCCAGCCTCTCCATATCCGTCTGGGACGGGAACATGTAAGGAAGCCGGTACAGGATTCTAGACGTCACCAGCGCGGACTGGGCGCTAGTGATGGTCCGTTCTGTGCAACCCCATGTGGTACCCGTCATGTGGCGGGCAGCGTTCATGGCCGGCCTGCATACGGCGGTTGTCGCTTTCACTGCTTGTGCCCAGCGCAACCGACTTGTGATGACAATTCCTAAGAAGCGTTGTTTGTTCACACACGTGAAGGGTTTTCCTGCCAGTTTGACGTCAGGGGGGCGAAAACGTCGACCATTTCCGCGTACCGGCATCCAGACAGTCTTATCCTGGGAGAGGGATAGCCCGGATTTGGTCAGGAAGGTGTCTACCGCTTGAACGGCGCTTTGTATGCTGCGGTGGATCTGCGTGGTGTAGATGCCCGTAACCCAGAGGCAGATGTCGTCTGCGTAGATCGACACCTGAACCGGGAGAGGGGTCGAAGGAAGAGAGTGCGGTAGTGGCGCCATAACCATGTTGAAGAGAATCGGGCTTAGCACGCTTCCCTGAGGCAGTCCTCTGTGAAGCAGTCTTGGCGAGGATGCCGCGCCTTCAGCTTGATACTGGATCTTGCGTCCGGTAAGAAAATTGGCCAGGAAGACTTGAATTTTTCCGGTCAGTCCAATCTCAGTCAATCTCCGGAGTATAGTGGATGGCGGCACGCCGTCGTAGGCTCGTTCCACGTCGAGGAAGACTGCCACCGTGTTTCTCCGCCTGTTCTTGTTTTCCTCAAGGTCGCTCGTGAGGTCCAGGATGCTGTCTTGTGCTGCCAGCCCTCTCCTAAAGCCAGTCATGCACTCCGGGAGACACATGCGTTCTTCCAGGTACCACCGAAGGCGCCACTGCACAAGTCTTTCGAACAGCTTACTTATGCACGAGGTCAGCGAGATTGGGCGGTAAGACTCAGCTTTGTCTGGGGGCTTCCCTGGCTTCAGTAGTGGAACAACCGTTGCTACTTTCCATTCTTCTGGGACGTCGCCAGAGTCCCATATGGAGTTGAACCAGGTGAGGAGGGCCTCGAGTGCATCGTTCGTTAAGTTCGTGAGCGCCTGGTAAGGGATCCCGTCGGGCCCAGCTGCAGTCTTCTTACGACACTTCCGGAGGGCGCTTTGGAGTTCCGGTGCAGTAAAGGGGGCATCTAGGGGCCCAGGCGCAGCGTCGGGTGCCAGCGGTCGTTCCGTCGCTTCTGCGGGGGCGTACAGTGCGCCTTGTCTCTCTGCTGCATCCACGAGTGTTACGTTAGCCGCAAGCGCTAGGACTTTCAAAGCGTGTCTTGTCCGACGTTTCCCGGTCATTGCCCCCAGTACCGCCTACAACTTCGCGAGGGAGGTGGGTGCGTTGACGTCTTTGCACATAAGCTTCCATCTATTTCTAACCAGCGCTTTAGCGTGTCTTCGCAGCTTGGCTGATATTCTGTTGAACTTGGACTTATCCGCTGGATTGTTTGTCCTGCGGTACTTCCTCTGCGCCCTGGTACGTGCCGCTTGGAGATTGAGGAAAGTAAGGTCCGGTTTGGGGAGCCATTCCGAGACACGGGACGTGCGCGTTGCCGCCTGCAGCGCGTGAACGATGGCTTCTGGGATGTCTGTTTGGGTGAGGTCCAAGGACGCACGGAAAACGTCCCAGTTCGTGCACGATCGCGTCACCTTTCGGGCCGTCTGGCACCCCTTTATCGTGATATGAATGGGGAAGTGGTCGCTTCCTCTGGTATCTGGTGCTGTTTCCCAAGTCAGCTCCAGCGATGGTGTGTGTGCTGTGACGTCGAGGACACTATACGTTCGAGGGGGCCTGAAGAAGGTAGGCGCACCGTTGTTCGCGACAACCAATCCGAGCTCTTCTATCATTTGATTGAGGGCGTCTCCCCGCTTGTTGGTTTTCTGACTTCCCCATACCTCGCAGTGCGCATTGAAGTCGCCGCACAGTAAAAGGTCTCCCTCAATGCCTTTACACCACTCTACAATGTCCTTCGTCGGCAGCGGCGTACCATCGGGACGTACGTATCCGACGAGTACATGCAGCGAGCGATTTCCGAGGCTGACTTTTGCGGCCACGAATTCCGCCGATAATGTACACAGTCGGCTGGTGTCAACTGGGACGTAAGGCACCCCTCGTCGAATAAAAAGAGCCGCGCTCCCATGGGGGAAACTAGGTATGGATTGGGTTGTAAGTTTCACGTATCCTGGTAAAGTTTGCTTCCCTGGTAACCCTGCCTCTGCGAGTGCCAGCACAGGGCTTGGATAGCGTTGCAGGTGCAGGCTGAGCTCACTGTGTTTGACGGAGAGACCTCGGCAGTTCCACTGCAGCACAGTTGGTACGTCACTCCGCCTAGGGTGGGACTCTTCCTTAGGACAACGGGTTACTGTTGTGGGAGATTGGTGTTGTGGGCGCATGGTGCGTGCTCAGGCGGACTGTGGGGCGATAGCCTCGAGACTTTCGCTGACGGCGTCAAGAACTTCCAGTGCGAACTTGGCTTCTGGTGTGTGGCCCCGTGCTTGGGCCAGTTGCCTTACTGCGCGAAACAAGCGTGATACCATTCGGAGCAAGGCGACGTCAGCTGTCTCCATCGTCGCAGGAACTTTGCCCTGAGCCCTTCGTGCGGCCTTGGCATAGCGGCAGCCCTTGTCCTCCATCGTAGTGTCGTCCGGCCGGAGACCGCGGCTGTGATTCTTCTTTGGAGGGTGAGTGGTATCCTGGTCCCTCCTTTTCTCCCTCCCTTCGGTCTGACTCCCTGGCAGCGGCGGGAAATCTGTTAAGGATAGCCTCTGTTGGGACCTCGCCTTGCGAAGTTCTGTGTCCGCTGCTTGCGCAGCGTTTCGGTGACCCTTGCCGGTGTTCTGCTTGCGTATAGCCGCTTTTGCTTCCGAGTGGGTGTACGCCGTTTTGGCGCGCATCTTGCACACCCGGCGTTCTTTCCTCAGGACTGAACACTGGCCGGAAGTTGCTGCATGGCCCTTTCCGCAGTTGATGCAGCGAGAAGTTTCACTGTCACACGCCGTGGATTCATGCCCGCCCGAGCACTTGGCGCACGTCTGCTCTTTTTGGCAGGCCGCTGCCACGTGTCCGATTCGGTTGCATCGAAAGCACTGCAGTGGTCTTGCCACGTAGAGCGTGACTGGGTGACGCACGTACCCCATGTGGACGTAGTGCGGCAGGTCTTTGCCTGCGAAGGTGACTCGGATTGTGGTGCTCTTCCCCAGACGCCGCACGTCGAGGACTTGGTGATCTGGGGCCCGCAGGGCTTCGAGAATTTCTTTATCCGTCAGTGCCTGGTCTACATCACGGACGACTCCCGCGATGTGGCGGACCTTCCAGGGTACGCGTGCGTCGACAGGCGTCTCTCAGATCTTTTGAATTTGAAGGAGCGCTGGCACAGCTTCTTCCGTCAGGACGTCGACTGCTATCAAATTTTTCCTGCCGTTGACACTTATCTCCCTGACCTGCTGGGAAGCAACGGAGCCAAAGAGGGCATTCAAATGAGGTCTGCTGAGCGCCCGGACGCTGGTCTTGTCTGTCGGTCGGAACAGCACCGTGTGTCCATTGGCCGCGTTTTTAGATGACGTGCGAGATCCCCAGGAGACCACGGTGTCACCGCTGTTTGTCGAGGCTCGCCGACTTTTCTTGGACCTTACGGGGATAAAACCGTCGTCGGTGTCGTCCCTGTCACTGGTCAAGGGTACCGCCGCTTCTTCCATGCATGACTCGACGTCGGAGAAAGATGCATCCGACATGACCGACGAGGGTGGAGAGCTGGCGTGGCAGTCCCTTTTCCGGTGCTGCCGTCCCGGAGTTACCGGTAAGGCCGGGATTTGATGTGTCCGGCCAGGTCTTGCAGACGCGCCTCCGGAAGCGGCGGCCATCCTCTTCCGCTCTTGATTGCGTTGCCTGCAGCTCTTTCAGCAAAAAAAAAAACAAAAAAAAACTGCAGTGCGAAAAGAGACTATAAGGACAAGATGCGTCCGAACTGTTAAAGTGAAGCAACTCGAAACCTGACTAAATCCCGTGACTTCGTTCGTAAAACTGCGTCTAGAAAGTTCCAGACAAGCGCGAACGTCGGTGGTTGAATCGTAACTCCGGCGTGGTTGCGGCGCTTTGTTATGGCTTTGTGCTTTGTCGCTCAGTGTTGCCAGATGGAACAAATTGAAGTCAGTAGATGGACGCCAAAGAATCAGCAAATACTATTATATATATATATATATATCAACGAGGTAGAGGGCCTTAGAGTGATAAACTAGTATACCGCTCATCAGGCAAAAGTGACCCCCGATTGGCCGCCGCCATGTTGTACAATTTTGACCACTAGACACGTGACCAGGCCAAATCTATGACGTAACCAGACCAAATCTTTGGCGTCAACGAAAAGATGGCAGCGCCCAGTGCGTGTCGGAAGCGTTGTGGGCGTTGATCGGAGTGTGTGGATTTCGTGAGCGGAATTCGGTTTTTGAGGGTTTTGTGGGCTCTCCCGCGTAGGAATAACGTGAAGTACGAGGGAATGAGGCTTTTCTTTTTTACTTAATTCAGAGTAAGCCAGATTCGGTCCCGTGCTTCTCGTACGGGCTCGGATCACTACCTCGGACATCGCTCGGTCGTTCGAGTTTAATTAAAATATCCGCAATCGTTAACCACGGGAGCTCCTCCATAATCGCTGAGTCGAAGGATACGTCGAACCCATCCGGAACGCGGAGTCTAAAGGTATGTAGGACGTAACCAGAACGCGGAGTTCTAACGCGGACGTGCCCGGGCAATTTTCTTAGCTCGACCGTCAAGATTCGCATTTGAAGCAGCGAGTGAAGTGTTGAAATCTCCGAACTGCTCGGTGCTGAGCTAACTACGGACCACTTCACTATGTGATCCGTAGTGACGTGAAAAAGACCGACGGCGGTCACTCCGGGCGGACGGCGGCTCCCGGCCGCCTGCCGGGTGCCTTCTGTGAAGGGGCGACAGTCGTGTAAGCAGTACTGTACCAGCTTCTCTTATAGTTATGTTGTTTTCGAGCAGCTTCCCGATCATTAAAACCCCGCAAACGCGTGCCGAAATTTCAAAAGGTGTCTGCCAACCTGGAAAGCCTTGAACTCCCAGGGAATTTC